GTATGATGCCATTATAGTCGTTTCCAGTTTCTATTCCATTATTGTTAAGTCCCCCCTCACCCTCCAAGTAGCAGGTGGTGGACAACCCTAAAAAGTAGTTTCCGTTGTAAATTCTTTCCATTTTATTTTCCATTATCCCAATACATCCCCCAACATAACCCCTAATATAAGGGGGACCCTTAACCCTTGCAGTTGGGTTTAGGTCTCAGGGTGTAGCGTCTAAACCCTAAACCCTAAACCATCCTCAATCCTAAACCCTAAACCCTAAAAGAGTGGAGGTGAGGTCATCCTACAGCAAGGAGAGCCCGGCAGCAGCTTCGCTGGCAATGCCAAAGGCTTACCCTAGAAGCCCAGTTACCCAATATTGGGTTCCTGTCCTTAAGTCCCTATATAAATTCATACTATCTATAACCCAAGGACCTACTATATGGGTACCTGGGCTTCTAGGGTTACATAGCTTATTGGTTCGTAGTCGGGAAGGGTTTAGGGGCTAGGGGTTGGGGTTTAGGGTTTACGGTTTGGGGTTGAGAATTTGGTTTGGGAAACTACCATTTAACAAATTTAGGGTATAGGAGTTTGGGATTAGTAGGGAATTCGCGAAATATGTCATACATGGATTATAATATTATAACCCCTTATTCCGTACTAAGAACCAGCAAGACATAGGGCTATATGGGGGGTCATATACTCTACAGTCTATATTAGGGACCATAGAGGTCCTTCTGGTAGTGTAGCATAGTCCCTAATATATCCCCTCCTAGGATCTCATGTCGGAAATGCTTAATGCAGCTCCTGTAGGAGTGTGTAGGGACATGTACGCCTTCGAGTTGAGGGTTAACTCACTGGTGCTTCAGGCGGGGATTAAGCCTCAACCACATAAACCCTAAACTATTCTTGGGCTGTGTACGGGTTATTCTAGGAACTCACTCCCCAGCTGCCCCTTGAACATCAGTAAGTGGAGTTTTGATGTTGAAGGCTTTTGAGGGTTCCAGGTGTGTGTAGGTTTGGTGGCTTTGGGTTTGGGGCTTCGGTGTTTCAGAGTTGACTCCGATCACCTTGAGCAGGTGACAAGGAGCCAAACAGTGAAATATCGAGGTTCCTACTCTTCCCTAAGGGTCCAAGTTCCCAATCATCATAAACTACATGGAAACTTGTAGAGACGGCTAATAATAGCAGTAATAGTAATACGTGTAACAATAGTAATAACTGTAGTAATAGTATTAATAGCAATAATCCAGAAGCATCATCAACATCACAGGGAACAAAGCCGTGGGGGCATGGACCTTCAGGGCTTGTTTGCCACAGTCAGGGCGCAAGCGGTTCTGCCAACGACTTACGGGTGCTCGAGGGAGAGGGGCGGAGTGGATTGGTATAGTAGTCCTTGGAAAACCCTAAACCCGAAACCCTAATCTTCTAACCCTAAACCCTAAAGTCCTGAGATTCACTCCCTCCACCTTCAGCACCAGTAAGAGGGGTGGCTCCGTGGGAGCACGTGGTTGCCTCTGCCTGCAAGTATGCGCAAAATGTGTTGGAGCCTCGCAAACTAGTCTAGTCTGGAAGATTCAGGGTCTTCACATGTTCTCTGATTTCTTTTGTTATGCACGTCTTAGCCTTAAGCAAGCCGCCAATGTCCCTAGTGTTACTGCAAATTCGCACGGCTGAGAGTATGGATGTCAGCAAGATTTGGGCGATGATGATGATGAGGGTTAGGAGGACTGAGACGCCGATGTTGATGATCATCATGTTGAGTATGGTGGGTGCTGGTGCCTGGCGCTGTCACTAGCGCCGCCGCCGCCGCTGCTGCTGCTGCCTATGAGGATGTGCAATGCTGCTGCGATGACAGCAATACAATCCCAGCAAATACGTCCTTGGGAAATTTTGCGGCTTGCCTTCTTGGGCTTGTATCGTCTTGTATTCATGTGTCTTGAATCGTGCTCATGCCAGTCAGGCCTATAGCCGTGGCTCCCCGGCGTTCGCTTGCAGCGGTGGATGTAAAGAGGCAGAATCGCAAGCGTCGATAAAAGAGCAGTTCATGATTTCAACGCATCAGCCCACGCTTGGCCCTAGCTCTTCAAACTCAAAGCCGCAAGACTAAACCCTACACCGCGCCCTCAAAACCCATCACCAAGCAGCCATCAGCGCCAAAATCTTGCATTCTGGGACGCCCCACGCCAAGTAAGGCACTTTCTACATTCTCTACGACGGTGAGGCCGCTCCATGTCCACAGCTGTAGCCCTGAGTTGTAGAAAGCCAAATGAATCTCATTAGTCTAACCCAGAGGGTCCATGCACCCAATACTTAGGTACTTGGGTTTTGGGTAATAGTAATTCTAGGACGGGTTTTGTGCAGGTGTATGAGTATTAGGTATCTGGACCATTAGTCTAAGTTGCTGATAAGGAACTTAAGTTCAGTTAACATATTATGGGTATATAGTAAGTAATAAGTAATAGGGTTTCCTTATTTCAGTAAGTACTTAGATTCAGCTAACATAATATGGGTATATAGTAAATAAGAAGGTTTCCTTATTACAGTAAGTTTTTTTAAGATCCTTAACAGCAACCCAGTAGTCTGCATCCCGTTCCGTCATTCCTGACAATCCGCCAGCAAGTACCCTGGCACTCCATGTTTATGCCCTAGGGCTCCCAGTCACCTAAATAGTGGGTAACGGGTCTATGTAAGTATAGGTTTATAGAACCCAGAACCCATTATTTAGGTAACTGGAGCCGTAGGGTATAAATAATACCTACACGGGGCCCCCATTGTGTATAACTAGTACCCGCATTGGGCCCAATGTCTATAAGTTCCCTAGACCCTAAACGCTACCATAAATAGTACCTACATTGGGCCATTCGGAGCCCAAAGGTAAAGCTTGCGCTGCAGGCCTGTCTGGGTTGTAGGTCCCCAGACATTCTCCTCGCAAAGCTACTCCAAAGTCTCCAAAGGAAATGTTCAGGATATAGCCCCCCTTAATTAGATAGAATATGGTTTCGGGTATATTATAATAAGATCCCCATATACCCCATATTCTATCCACTTAAGGGGGGCTATATACCAAGCCGTGAATGCCTGCCTAGGGTAAACGCATTTCCGCAGCTCTTTAGCACATGCGAAAGGCCACAACTGAAGTGCAGTTTCTACTGGGCTTCAAGAGCCAAAGACCTAGAATACCCACATCTGAAGGACCTTACCCATCCTCACCACAGAGCTTTTTCTGAGCCTTAAAGGTGCAGGTGACAAAAGACGCCCAAAAGCAGGCCAAGTTGAAAGCATCCGCGCAGCTCTGCTGCATGTTCTCTGAGGACAATTGCTGTTGTTATTACTCTCACGATTACCCTTACTATTACTGTCAGTATGATTATTTTTACTATTACTATGACTACTACTATCTTTCTCTACAATTGTACGTAAGGGAGCACTTTGGGGCAATGTGGGGTTTAGGGCTTAGGGTCTCTGTTTCTACAGCTAGGTGGCACTTTGGGATCATCTGTACTTTCTTTATTGCTTAAAGGAACCTATTCACATTAATTTTGGGGTCCTAACAGTACAACCCAGACAAGCAATCTCTGTCTCTCTCCCTCCCTTTGTTCACCCTACTTGTAGGAAGGCATTGGCAGGGGCTATTTGTTAGGAGCGCATAGGATTGCATGGGCTCACAGTGGCCGGCCATTTCGTTTTTTTTCTCCAGTGTGATGCCTCTCGGGAATCCAGCCTTGTCGCTTGTTTGGAACCACAAAAAAATTCGTGCTTATCTGAATCTTGATCCCCTCTCCACCCACGTGATATGTTTCCTGCCCATTAAACCTCAAAGCCCCAGCCCTAAACTGTCTGAAGGGTCGAAATTCATCCAGCTAGCAGGCCTGCTTTCAAAATTGTAGGCTCTGGGGGTCGCATTGTATCCACCTAGCACGTAGGGGTACAAATCTTCGAGATATTCGACATTTTGGAAACGACCCCATCCAGTCCGAGAGCTTTGAAGTCGTGAGTTGGCCAGAAGTACCCACCCTAGAATCATTAATTTTATTGGGGTTCAGCAGGGAATGTGGGAATATTTTATAAAGGGATTATGTAGGTTTTAATCATTAATCTTATTGGGGTTCAGCAGGGAATGAGGGAATATCTTATAACGAGATTATGTAGGGATTACATTCCGTGATATCCTGCTAACCACCAGTGGGTAGTGTGGCGTACCTGGTACAACGCCTTGTCATCCCTACCTGCCGCGGAGTCCCTAAGGGGCCCCCTGTATGAGGGACTCGCAGGTTATTTGAAGCGCTGCATGGGTTCCTCGTGAGTTCCATAGTTCCATCTCTGCTCAAGGCACATCTTGCTTGTAGAGACAAAACCTTCTTGCACTCAGATCCTTTTGAGCTTGCAGGAGTTAGGCCAATGCTTGCAGCATAAGACCTTGATCCCTTCATGGTGTAATTGGTAGTCTCCCAAAATAAGGGGCCCCCAATATAGACCCCAATATACTACAATCCTTATTATGGGGACCCCCAAAAAGGTATCCCTGTTTTTCGGAAACTCCCAATTCTACATGAAGGTCAGGCGATGGGGTTACGCACCCATCAAGATGAATTGTCTTTTTGTCACCGGAAGCTGCTGAGAAAGACTGCTGCTAGCCTGTTTTGCGCGGGTACGCTGATCTGCTCTAACGTTTAGCTATTTCCTTAGCGAACAGCATAATGCCCTAAATGACGCTTTGTACCCTTACCACAACCGCCACCCTTGTTGTGTTCACAGAATACTATGGCTACGTGGTCTATCTGCCAGTACTTGCTTGAGCTGGACGACAATTATCTGCAGCACTGCTCTTTGTGATCTGCTTGCCCCTAATATCCTGTACATGATTAGCCCCGAAATACCCCCTCAGCCCTAAACCCGAAACCATACCCCTCAAACCCTATACCCGAAACCTAAACAAAACTACACGAAACTCACAATTGAGTATACAATGCCTGAAAATCCCAAGCCCAAAATGCCAGAACCTCCTTAACAAGGTCCACGAAAGCCGCCCACTTCTTCGGAGAGCGGGCGCTGATGAGCAACGAGTGCCTTCAGCCTTTGATTGTAGGGCTTACTTGGAGGTTAAGGGTAATTTGGGTTCAGGGTTTAGGTCATCATAGACCGAAGATAGCTGCAACCCAGTTATAACGCTTCTAAGTCCCCGAATTCCGTTATAGCTAAGTTAGCCCAGTTCTACGTGGGTTACAACTACACTGAACCTCCAAGTAGGGTTTACGGTTTACAGGGATTACTTATGGGCAAATGGGCGGTCTCATGAGTGGTGTTATCCGTCGGGTAGTTGTAGTTGCTGGAGCCATTCGATAATGAATGTAAGGTGCCTGGAACCGCATTTGAGGGGGGTTGAAACAGGTCTCAGGGGTTTGGGGTTTGGGCAGTTTCCAGGCTTACCTACTTTGGGTACCCAATTTCAATTGTCTCGCTACTTTGCTACCCGGTACTACAACAAAACGACGTGGCAAGAAAATCAACTATACAAGGTTGTGGGTGCCTCGTGGTTTAGGCTTTAGGGTTGAGGGTTCAGGGCTTAAGTTACAGTGCCTAGTTTTTCTTCCTTTGGGGAATCCCTCGTTGGGGTTCCATGTGGGTTCACATGATTTCGTAGGCAGGGGTCATCGGGCTTTGGGTTTAGTCCACCTAAAACAGCCAATGTACCCAATAAAAAGTTTGTGTGTGTACCTATTTTGGGGTATCTTTGCCTACCCTAAACCCTAAACCCTAAACCGTGTGGCTGAGCCCTGTCCTGATCCCTGAGCTGGAGGTAATAGGGGAGGTCGCTCACTGAACCCCAAACCCTAAAGCCCTCACCTTAAAAGGACCCCCCACCCTGTAATAGTGGTATAGTAGGAATCTAGCAGGAACCTAGTATAGTCCTTATTATCCCTTATAGCCACTAGTACAGCGTGGGGGGTCTCCACCTAACCTATAACCCTACAACCCTCAACTTGTCTACTCGATTCAAACCTTGCCAGGCCGCGGGCAGCCACCATCACGGTGGTCTCAAATGAGGCCAAGGTCTTGGCAGCCTAGTCGCAAGTGGCGACGTATTGGAGTTTCTCCAAATGGGGGTTTCCCAAAATTAGGGGTACCTTTTTAGGGGTCACAATAATAAGGACTATAGTATTT